GGGTCTGGGAGGTGAGGGGGCACCAGAGGGTCGGGTCTGGGAGGTGAGGGGGCACCAGAGGGTCGGGTCTCGGGAGGCGAGGGGGCACCAGAGGGTCGGGTCTGGGAGGTGAGGGGGCACCAGAGGGTCGGGTCTCGGGAGGCAAGGGGGCACCAGAGGGTCGGGTCTGGGAGGTGAGGGGGCACCAGAGGGTCGGGTCTGGGAGGTGAGGGGACACCAGAGGGTCAGGTCTGGGGAGGTGAGGGGGCACCAGAGGGTCGGGTCTCAGGAGGTGAGGGGGCACCAGAGGGTCGGGTCTCGGGAGGTGAGGGGACACCAGAGGGTCGGGTCTGGGGAGGTGAGGGGGCACCAGAGGGTCGGGTCTGGGGAGGTGAGGGGGCACCAGAGGGTCGGGTCTCGGGAGGTGAGGGGGCACCAGAGGGTCGGGTCTGGCGGGGTGAGGGGGCACCAGAGGGTCGAGTTTGGGGAGGTGAGGGGACACCAGAGGGTCGGGTCTGGGGAGGTGAGGGGGCACCAGAGGGTCGGGTTTGGGGAGGTGACGGGGCACCAGAGGGTCGGGTCTGGGAGGTGACGGGGCACCAGAGGGTCGAGTTTGGGGAGGTGAGGGGACACCAGAGGGTCGGGTCTCGGGAGGCGAGGGGGCACCAGAGGGTCGGGTCTCGGGAGGCGAGGGGGCACCAGAGGGTCGGGTCTGGGGAGGTGACGGGGCACCAGAGGGTCGGGTCTGGGAGGTGAGGGGGCACCAGAGGGTCGGGTCTGGGGAGGTGACGGGGCACCAGAGGGTTGGGTCTGGGAGGTGAGGGGGCACCAGAGGGTCGGGTCTGGGAGGTGAGGGGGCACCAGAGGGTCGGGTTTGGGGAGGTGACGGGGCACCAGAGGGTCGGGTCTGGGAGGTGACGGGGCACCAGAGGGTCGAGTTTGGGGAGGTGAGGGGACACCAGAGGGTCGGGTCTCGGGAGGCGAGGGGGCACCAGAGGGTCGGGTCTCGGGAGGCGAGGGGGCACCAGAGGGTCGGGTCTCGGGAGGTGAGGGGACTCCAGAGGGTCGGGTCTGGCGGGTGAGCAGGCGTGGCCGGCAGCAGGTCTCGGGGGCTTCCCAGGAGAGAGAGGGTGCTCTCAGAAGCTCTCCGGGCCGCGGGAAGAGCTCGCGGGGGCCGAGGGCCCACGTGACCCGCGGCACCTTCATGGGAGGCAGAGGGCATGGGGAAGCCAGGGGAAGGGTGGAAAACCGGTCTGGAAGGGCCTTGAACGGCAAGCGGGGAAGCTTGGACGTGGTCCAGCCGACGGCGGGAGCCAGCGGCCACGGAGGCGGCTCGCGGAGAAGCATGAATGGAGAATCGGCTTTTTGTGTCTCTGCCGCCCCGGCACCCGGCTGGGGGAACACAGGCTCGGTCTCTGCGGTCGGTCCAGCCGCACGGAGCCGAACCGCTGGCGGGTGGGGGCGGACAGGTGGCTGGAAGGGGGACGGACACGTGGGGCAGGCAAGGACACAGCGCCTGCTTGACACCTGCCACACGCCAGCCTCCACCCCGCCCACGGTGCCGGCTCCCGGCTGTTTGGTTCCCCTTTGTTGCAGAAGAGGGAGCAGGGGTCAGTGAGGTGCCATGGCTTGTCCGTCCCCGCGGCTCGGATTTTAGCCAAGACCTTCTGACCCCAAGTCCGCCCGGTGCCCTTGGAAGGGCCGTGACCGGCTGCGTGTGGTCTGGGGCGCAGCAGGCCAGGAGACCTGCAGCTGGATGGACAGATGGAGGCAGTCCCAAGCTCGGGGCCAGGCTGGCCAGCCCTGTCCTCCCCTCTGCCGGGACAGAGGCAGCTCACCTCGCACCCCCTCCTGGGAGGCCCCGAAGGCTTTCCACACGCATGGCCTCCAGGAGAGAGAGGAAAGGCAGCCCCGTGTGAGCCGGGGTGGGCGCTCCCTGCCCCTCAGAAGGACAAGCTCACGCCACCCCCCACCCCAGCACCAATCCGGCACCATCCAGAAAGCCCTGACCTACCTACAACCTGTGCCAGATGGGCCTGCCCATGCCAGCCAGCCGGTCACCGCCCGAGCCAAGGGGAGGAGGGGACGGCTTCCGGACAGGAGCCCGGGCAGCCAGGCCGTGTCCGCAGGCTGCTGGCAGCACGCAGCAAGAGGGCACCGGAGGCAGAGCCCCGCGGCTGCGGCTTCTGCTCCCTGCCCTCTGCCGGGCACGGCCTGGGGAGCAGAGCTGGGGCTGGTCCGGAGGCTGCACCCCATCCCAGGTTCTCCTCCACTCTGCTGCCCTCAGCACACGCACACACCCATGCACACTCATGCACATACACACACGTGCACACACAGTCACACTCATGCTTACATACTCATGTGTGCACAATTTGCACACACTCTCATGCACACCTGCACACAATATATGAATGCACACTCACGCACACACAATGCATTCCCATGCACACACAATTACACTGATACGTGCACACACATGCACACTCACACACATTCGGTCATGCTCACAAAATATACTCACATTCATGCAATTACCCACACACATACACATGGGCACACTCATGCGCACATACGACATTCACATGCACACATGCAATTATACTGACACATGTATACTCACACACATTCAGTTACACTCACATCTGTGCAATTACACACATGCATACACGTGGGCACACTCAGGCACACATACATTCACATGCACACATGCAATTATACTGACACGTACACACACATGCACACTCACATTCAGTCACACACAAAATACACTCACATTCATGCAATTACACACACGCAAACACATGGGCACACTCATGTGCACACACCACATTCACGTGCACACATGCAGTTATCTACTCACACACATGCACACACATATGCACACTCACGTGCAACACACTGACACACACACACACTGGTACATGCTGCCTCACGCACAGGTCCTGCGTGGTCGTGCCCAGGGCCAGGGACACGGCCTCAGGACGAGGGCACCGGTGACGGCAGACGCGTGGGGCCAAGGCTGAGTCAGGAGCGGACCGAGGCCAGGTGGCCAGCGTGTGATGCTGAGGGGAGCACTCAAAGCTGGATCCGAGGCAGAGCTGTCCAGGTGACCTACCTGCCAGGCCAGCCTCTGCCCCAGCCCCCGCTCCCTGCAGGCCCTGCCCCCCTCCCCAGGCAGCTGCAGGCGCTGGGGCTCCTCTGGCTCGGCTACTCCAGTCTGGGCGGGGAAAGTGATGATCTGGCTAAATGTGAGCCGCCCTTTCCTGCTGAGTGTCGCCTCCACCTAGGGGAGGTTGCAGTGGGGGGACTGGAGCCCTGGGTGAGGAGCCCTTCAGGGTGCTGGGTGCTGTCTGTTGCAGCTCCGTGTCAGGCCAAGTGTGGGTGTGCATTTAGGGGGTGCCATTGTGCCCTCCGGAGACTGCGGGGTCTCCAGCCCAGGACAGGACGGGCCCCATAGCAGGTCCCTCACTGCCTCCTGCGGTGGCCTCTGCCTGTGTTTCTCTGCTTTGCCCTTGGGGCAGGGGGTCCTGTCACCCGGCACCCAGCTCTGCTACAGTGCCGGGTGGCTTCTAGAAGTCGAGCCCGCTCGGGGTGTGGGGTGAGGGGTGTGCAGGACATGTGTCCACGCCTCTCTTCCCTGGGCTGCCTGGCCACCAGGATGGGCCCCCACTAAAAGCCTAGCATCGGGCTGCCTGCAGAGGTGCTTTGTCAGGTCTCCAGCCACCCTCCTTCCTACCAGAGAACGCAGCCAAGCCCCCCTCGGCTCCACGCCGCTCCGCCCCTGGACGCCGAGGGCGGCTGCAGTCCGGGTTCCCACATCCCCGGCCACCGATGGGACTCTGAGCCCATCCCCACCCCCACAGCCCCTCCTGCAGGCTCCGGCCAGCCGCTGCGCAGACAGCCTGTCCCTAGCGGCCCGTGAAGACCCCTGAGAAGCTCTCAGCTCAGGCAGGGGAAGAAGGGCAGACCCCTGCAGATCAGACCTGGCCGACACCCTGGCCTCTCTGGACCCCACAAACAAGACCCCCACTCTTGGTACACCTCTCGGCCCCGACTGCGCCAGCTGGGCCTGTGGGCTCCTCTGAGAGGGAGGGGCAGCGCGGAGGAGGCTGGGTGTCCCGCCAGCACCGTGCCCAGGGGCCTGCCCCGCCGCTGCCAGGCTCACCTTGAGGGAGTAGGCCAAGGCGATGAAGCCCAGGCAGCAGAAGTTGAGGTAGACAAAGTTGAAGATGGACCACAGGTAGTAGTCGTTCACCTCGCTGCTGTCGGGGTACACCTCCACCACCGTCGCGGGGTTCGCCAGTGTCTTCTTCTCCGCCAGGTGCTTGCAGGCCTGGGGGGCGCCGGCCGCCCGCACGCTGTCGGTCTTGCTGCTCTTGGACTCCATGGGGAACAGCGTGGGCGCCATCGGGGGGGAGGCGGAGGGCTCCGGGGCAGGGGCCCCGGGAGCTTGCAGGGCGGGGGGCTTGGACACGCAGGCGAAGCAGCCCTTGGGGGACCCTGCCGGGGGCCTCGGGATCCAGAAGGCCCCGTCCAGGGAGACTCGGGCTTCCTGGGCGCCGTCCGTGGTGCTGCCGGGGCTCCCAGCCGGGCTGGGCACTGGCCGGGGCCCTGGGCCTGGGCGGGAGGGAGAAAGGAAGGATGAGGTGGACCCTGCCCGCCTGGGGGGGCCTGCCCTGTCTCCCTGCAGCCCCATGAACAGACCCAGCGGAGATGGGAATCTGCACCCCCCACACCCTGGGCAGCCAGCTGCTAGCCTGCCACCTGCCTCCCCCGCCCGGCCTGGCACCCGCGGCCACTGCGCTGCCAAAGCCGTTTGCAGCAGCCTTGGCGGGGACATGGGGCTTTTCACCACTTCACCATCTGCGCACAAACATTCGCCCACGGACACACAACAGGCACCCCGCAAACACACACCCACACTCGGACTGACGACAGCACCCCAAACAGCAGCCCGCCCCGGGGCTCCAGACCCCCCACTGCCTAAGCCAGGAACGTCACACCGAGCAGCGCTGCGGGCACCTGCACACAGGCGCCGGCACACCACGCAGACACCAGCACCGCCCCCCCAGGGCTCTCCGGACCCCGGCGTGCCCGCAGGCGCCAGACGCCGCCAGGTAAACAAGTCCCCACACAGGCGACTGGGGCTCAGCCCGGGACTGACGCAGGTTCGGAGCCTCCAAACTCGCGCGCATCGCCCCCCACCTCCAAGCCGAAGACCCCGGGCGCGCACATTCGCACGGAGCCACCCACCCCGGGGGCCACAAACAGACGCACAAGGACACGCTGCGAAACGGACACTCCAGCCAGGCAGCGAGTCGAGACGCCCGCGCCCAGCAGCGCGCGCCGGGGGTCTGCGGCAAGGCCCCCGCCCGGCCCCTCTGCCCTGCTCTGTCGCAGCCGCGCGGACGGACGGCGCGTCCTCACCTACTGGCGACTCTTCCGCGGCCGGCCGGACCCTGCGCCTCGCCTCGGAGCGCGTCCTTCCGGCGTCCCGCGGGCCGCTGTCTGTCCGCCAGCCGCGTCCCAGCGGCCCAACCTTGGGGGCGGGGAGCGCGCGGGGCTCGCGGCGGCGCCGCTGCCTCCCCCGCTGCCCGCGCTCCCTCCGCTGCGCCAGGCGGCCGCGCCGCTGCAGCCAGAGCCTGACTCACGCGGCCCCGCAGCCGCCTCCGCCTCCTCCCGCCGGATGGGGGGCCTGCTCCGCGCTGGACCGGACCGTGCTGGAGCCAACCCCATCTCCGCACCGGCCCCTGCCCCGCCCTCTCGCAGGCCCCCAGACTCCGGGCCCTCCCCGTCTCCCTGCCCAGGAGACAGACAGCACCCCTCTTTCTACGTCCCCACTCGCTGGGCCAGCTGAGCCCCCTCCCCGGGCCTGTTGGATCTCCCTTCCCCGCCCGCTCTGTGTGCTGCACTCAGAGTCTTTGCCCCCCACCGCAAGAAGCCCCAGTCCCCGCAGGTGTCTGGGTCTCACCAAGCCCCTCCTGAGCACCCTTGTCTGCACGGTCCCGTCCCTAACCCAGCCCCCACCCTGGACGGCTCTCCAGCTCCTCCCCACTTAGCCCACCAAGTCCAGGACCCCCACTAAGTTTCAGTGACCCCCCCCTCCCCTCCTCTCTGAGCCCACCCTGGTCAGAGCTCCTGCCCCCCCATCAGACCCCCATTGACCCCACTAAGCAAGCCTGGGCCCTGCACCCCCCCACCGCCAGTCCAGCTCACTCCCGAAGTCTGGGAGCACCTGTCCCCTCCCTGGACAGGTACCCCAGAGGGCTCCCCTCTGCCGGCACAACCGAGGTCCTGCTTGCTGAGGTCCTGGCCACTAGTGACACTTGTGTCCTTGGAGCTGGGCCACTACCTGCTCACAGCCTCTCTAGGAGCCCTACCTGGGCCATCTGGGCCCTGGGCCTCCCCTTCAAATCGTATCTCAGAACCGATGTCTGTCCTCCCAGCCTTGGTCCCTCCCGGCCCTTACCTGCCCCCACACACTCTCATTCTCTCTTGGACACTTTGTCCCCAAACGATCTCCCAGCCCCACAAAAGTCCCAATGAGGAGGTCCCTTCCCCATGGAGACAACGCCAGACCTCCCACCCTCCTGCACCGCCCATCTCGGAGCTGGGTCCTCTTCACCAATGTGCCGGCCCCCACCCAGCACCGACCCTCCTCCAAAGGGACCCAGCGCTGTGGCTCTTCCTCCTCTCCAAGCCCTGTCCTGGTTCTGAGCCCCATGGCTCCCTCCGTCCTATGATCCTATGAACTATGAACCTCCCTCCCACCACCCTCTGGCTCTCCAAGCTGGTCCTTCTCGGGGTCCCCCTGACTCCCAGTGTGTGCCTGCCCTTATGTGACACCCTGCTCCTCTCTGAACCCCTTCTCTCCCCCACCTCCGTGCTCTGAGCCCGCAGCCCTGCTCTGGACCCCTGTCCCCTGGACGAACCCCGGCCCTTCCCCATCCCACCCCCTTCCCGGGCCGACCAGCACAGCCTCAGGCTCGGTCGGTCCCCACCTGCAGTGCAAAGCTGATCTTCAGCGATGCTGACAAAACCCTCCCTGGGCCAGCCGGCGGGGACAAGCAGGGGAGCCCTCCCGTCCCCCTCCTGGGGTACCCTGGCCACACCTCTGTGGAGCCCTGTGGGCAGGTGGGGCATGCCGGGGAGCCAGGGCTGCGTCCTCCTGTGCCCAGCTCCAACGCTGCCCTCCCCAAGGGCCTGGCAAGGGCACCCCGGCCTCAGGTGCCCTCCCCAGGCTGTGTGTGGCCTGCGTGCCATGCCACCCCCTCCCCGGGTCTGGGCTGAGCGGGAGGACACTTCGGGGCAGGCAGGGGCCTGGTCTGCACACAGGTCCAGAGGGCACTCAGGCGGCAGGGCGGAGGGGGTGCCAGGGCCTGCTTGGGTCCCTGGGCCGGGTGAGGGTGGGGCTGGGCCCCCTCTCTGCTCCAGACCACCTCCCTCCAAGGCCCCCAGAGCCCCCAGCGTCCTGCACTCTGCGTGGGAGATGGAAGGGGCTGGACCACCATGGTAGACTCCTGAGAGCTCGCCCTGGGTCGGTACCCCTCCCAGCAAGGGCGTGGCCGGGAAACACCCCCTGAGGGGTGCAGGGGTTGGGGGGGTGCGAGGCCCAGGGCTCCCCAGGGCACTGTCGGTTGGTCGCAGCATCCTGTGAGCAGCATCTCGTTGCCGCCCAGTCTAGAGACAGGGCTCCAGGCTCAGGGCCGGTCCCCCAGCCAGAAAGCCAAGGAGGCTGCATTTGAACCTGGAGTCGGACGCCAGGGCCCTGAGCACTCTGACCCGCTGCGGGGAGCCCTCCTCGGGGCCACCCACCCCGACCCTGGGCCCTGGACCGGAGCAGCAGCGGAGACAGAAGCTGCAAGGAGCGGCCCACGGCCTGGAGGCTTGGAGGGGAGGGGGCTGCTCCTGCCGCTCTGCCCTCCCTGGCTTCAGTGCAACTCTGCAAAAAGCGTCCGGTCACACCTGCCCGGGCTTCGGTGCGTGTGAACTGGGCATGTTTACGAGCCTCCTTGCAACCCCGGGTAATTGTTCCCAGAGGAGGTGTTCCGGGGGGGCTCAGCTCTGGTGCAATCCCCGGGCCCCTGGGAGTGGGAGGCCAATGACAGCCACCCCCCATCCCACAGAGGATGCACCAGGACGATGACAGCAAATGTCACCTTTGCCCCATGTCCTACACCTGCTGGTACGGGGCGCGGTGGTGGTTCTAAGAGAGACTTTAGAGCTACTGATCCCAAAGGAGCCCAGTCCCTACTACCGAGTGGTCACAAACTCCTGCCCATCCCTTAAAACCCCACTGGCTGCTGCAGCTGCCACATCTGGGCACGTGCTCCCAGTGGAAGACCAGCCCCGGGCCAGGGCCGGGCAAGGAGCAGCCCACGCTGCCCGCCCTGCGCAGGCGTGCTCCCTTTCCGGGTCCCAAGCGGGGCTGCGGAGGGCCATCGGAGGTCCCTCGGGGGGGCCCCGTCTCTTCCAAGAGCAGAAGCTCTCTCTGCGAGAGTGTAGCCGGCACTCGCCTGGTGCATGTGAAATCCGTGCCTGGACGCCGGGCGCTCACGCCAAAAACTCTGGCCCAGGCCACGTCCTGCTGGTCACTGTTCCCGGCCTCAGAAGGGGCCAGCCCCTGCCCACAGCCCCGGCTGGACAGCTACCCACAGCCACAGGGTCCCATGTGCAGAGAAGGGCAGAGCCACTTGAGTCTGACACCAGGCACGGGGCAGCCCGGACACTCGCCCGAGCCTGACCCTCCCGGCTCCTTCCCCGTCCCGACTCAGAACCACCCTCCCTCGGCTGGCCGGGGGCCGGGCGAGGCCGCTCACACCGGTGATCCCGGCACCCTGGGAGGCCGAGGCGGGAGGATTGCTTGAGGCCGGGGTCAGGAGTTCGAGACCAGCCTCGGCAAGAGCGTAGACCCCCATCTCAATATAAAGAACCACCGTCCCACCGCCAAGCACAAAGCACACGGACACGGAGAGAGGCCTGAACATCTGTATTTTCACGTCCACTCTGTCCCTCAGTCACCCGGAGAGAAGGCAGCAGAGGCCAGACCGTCCGGGCCCACCGGGCCCCCGAGTGCCCACGCCCACGGCTCCTCCTTCCAGCGCCCTCCGGCCTGCTCACCGCGGCCTCGGCGCTTCCTCAGTGGGCCCGGGACCCGCGGACAGGGGCCAGCAGAGCCCAGATGTGGGTGGCCGGGGTGGGGTGGGGTCCTCGGGCAGGGCCGGTTTCCGAAGGAGGCTCCGTGAGGATGGCGTGGGGGCGTGGGGCGGGCGGGGGCAGGCCGGCTGGGGGAGGGGCTCCGGCGCACAAACACGCACCTGCGCGGGCACGGCGCCCGCCCTCCATCAGACAGGCCGGGCCGCCTTTCCGAGCCCAGGGAGGGCCACGCGGGAAGAAACGGCGGCCCAGTGGGGCCGGGGCAGTGAGTGTGCGAGTGCGTGTGAGACATGAGGGGTGGGAGGGCTGAGGATGCCGGCCGGCCTCCCCCTGCGGCCTCCTCCTTTCCCTGCTGTGCGGGCGGGCCGGGGAGCTACTGGTGTGCGGCCTCCGCGAAGCCCACCCTGTTGTTGTCGCGGTCGAACACGGAGTAGTAGCGGCCGATGAAGACGTCGCCCAGAATCCAGAGCGGCCCGCCGGGCGGCGGGATGTCCATGCCCATGAAGCCGCTCAGGCAGATGGTCTTCCCGCCCTGGGACACCTGGGGCGGCCGTGGGGGTCACCACCGGGCTGTCGCCACCACCCGCGCCACCACCAGCCGCCACCCCCTGGCCGGGGCGCGCCCCACTCACCTTGAGCGTGTAGTCCTCCCCCGAGAGCACGTAGTCCTTGCCGCCCAGCTTCAGGGTGACCGAGGGCAGGCTGGACACCTTGTCGCAGGGGATCATGTACTGCGGGCGAGAGCGGCGAGTGGGGACACTGTCCTTGGGACGCCCACCCGCCTGTCTGCCCGCCTGCCCACCCGCCGCCGCCGCTGCTCACCTCGCCCTGGATCAGCGGGACGGCGCCGATGGCCTTCTGCAGCTCCCGGACCTCGGCCACGGGGCCCACGACGAGGGAGGTGCCCGTGTCCACGATGGCCTCGCAGCCCTCCTTGCACAGGGTCAGCCCGCTGGCCACGTCCACCCTGGGGGCCGGGAGGGCGTGAGTCCCCCACCTAGGCTGGGCACGGTCCCCCGAAGCCCCTGCCCGGCACGCGTGGTCTGCGGGGCGTGAGCCGGGCGTGGTGGCAGACTCCTCCTCCTCCCTCGGGGTGGCCGAGAGGGAGCAGGGCACCCACAGGTGGTGGCAGAAGGCATGGGGGGCCGGCGGGGTGCAGGGACAAGCGCGACACCCCCCGCCCCCCCCCACGTCCCCGAGAGCCACACCCGCCAGCAGGACCGGGGGTGACGGCCACTACTCACTGGTCCATGTGGATCTGCCAGTAGGCCTCGCGGGTGACGTTCAGGTAGGTCAGGGAGCCCTTGTAGTACTTCTCGTCCACGCCGCCCAGCATCAGCTCACCTCCGGGCTTCGCGTTTGGGTCCCTGGGGGTTAAGGGAAGGAGTCAGCTGCCTCTCTGTCCCCAAGCGTGAGAAGGCCAGCAGGGCAGAGGTAAGGGGCTGGCGGGGTAACCAGGGAGAACTGCCTGGAGGAGGAGCCATCCTGGACCTGCCGGAGCAGAAAGACCCAGAAGGGAGAGGGAGGAAGGGCCTTCCTTCCTCCCAGGGAGGGGCTCTGACCCCACACGCCAGTGGGCCGAGCTGCACCAGCCCAGCCCAGGCAGAGTGAATCTTGCTCAGCCCTCAGGTTCTCTGCTCTGCAGGGGCCAGGCTGCAGGGCAGATGGGGAGAGAGTGCCATGCACCTAGGCAGGGGGACCCCGTCTGTCTGGGAGAAAGACCAAAGACGGCCTCTAGGAGGCGGTGACAGCGGGATCCTGAGAAGCTGAGGCAGCCAGCTCCTGCCCCAGGGCCTTTGCACTTGCGGTTCCCAGAAACTCCCCGAGTGCTCACCCTCCTCAGCCTCACCGGCTCTTCCTTCCCATCTCAGCCCCTGCCTCCCTAAGCCAGGCTGCCACAAACAGCGCTCTTGGCAGGGACAGGGACGTCACGCTTTCTGTTGAGATTCTTTTTTGAGTCAAGCGTGAGCTTTGACACGCAGCACCCCCGCCAGTCCCGACAGGGAGGCTGCCCTGGGCCGGGGGTGTGGGGGGGTTCCGCTGTCCCAGCAGGATGTCCCCAGCTGAGCCTGCCACTGTCCTACTGGCCCGTCCCCCACCCAGGTCCTCCTACCACCACGGGGGGTGGGGGCTGGTGGGGGGGTCCTCACCGGCACCTACCAGCCCCTCGGCAGCCGCAGGTACAGACCCTCCTCCCCGGGCCCCCATATCCATCCCGCCCATCACACCTGCTCCCTGGCCCTTGGACCCTCACCCCTGCCTGAGACCCTTGACCCCCGGCAGTCAGGAGGCCTCGCCACCTCGGACCTGGGTCCCCGCCCTGCTGGGAGGGAGGGCTCCGGAGGCTGACCCGGCCGGCCCTAGCGAGCGGTGCAGCCCAGGAGACTCCACTGGCCAGCGAGGGATGGGGGAGGGAGGTGGGGGATGGGCGATGGAGGCCAGGCTGGGTCGGGGCTGGGGCCTGGAGACCCCAGGTGCCAGGTGGGCACATGCCGCCCGTCAGCCCTGGTGCAAGAGTGCGGTGCCCGGACGTGGCCCAGGGTGGGAGACCGCATGCTGACCCTGCACACCCCCAGCGGCCAAGCCCGGCAGCTCGGTGCCCCGCGGCGCCAGCACCCCTCAGCGTCTGACGCTCCCCCCAGGCCGGCCTGAGAGGAGGAAGCTGAGGTCCCCTTCTGGAGGTCCCCCGTCACCTGTGCAGGTGTAGCGGCTGCCGGTGGGGCGGGGGGCCCACCTCCCCTGCAGGAAGGGCCCCTGCATCCAGTAGAAGGCAGCCGGCAGGGAGGCCCGAGGACCCTCCAGAGCTCCTGTCCCTCATTGGCGCCCAGGGCCCGCCCCCCAGGCCAGGGCCACGTGAGCCCCCGACCCCTCCCTCCCAGAGGACGGACGACGCCCCAACCACCGAGGTCCGGGGACCCCCGGCCCATCCTGAGCCCCTCCCCACCGGGAGCCCCAGGTGAGACTTGGCCTGTCAGCCATCTGGAGGAGGGTGGCCCCTCCTCTACCTCCCAGGTGCGCCAAGGTCAGAGGTCAGCAGCCGTGGCCACACGCCTGGAGGGCAGACATGGCCCCACACTGCGGCAAAGCCACTGGTCGCCGGGGGTGGGACAAGGCGGGGACAAGGAGCCGCCCCTCCCACCGCACCTGTTCAGGTAGAAGGAGAAGATGTTCTTGTCCACCAGCTTCTGCTGCATCAGGTTGTCGAAGACGGGCAGCACGTTGTTGACGGAGATGCGGGGGAAGGCCATGCCCAGGATGCCGTCGAACTTGGCCGCGATGAAGGTGATGCCCGGCTGCTTGGTGGCCTCCCCGAACACCTGCTTCTCCACTTTGACGAGGCGGCCAGGGGACGTCGCCCCTGAAGAGCAGGGCACCTGCGGGCCGGGGCGGGAGTCAGCGGGCCGCACGCACCCGCTGAGCCCGACGCCAGCCGGGGGCACGGCTGCAAACCCCAGCCCCGTCATGCCCTTCATCTGCCGGGATGGCGCAGAGAGGGCACAGGAGCGAGGGCTGGGGACGGGGCAGGTGGGGGCAGCCTGCGCAGCTGTGGGGACCTGGCGGAAGGCAGAGGGCAGCTCCTTGCTCCTCTCCCACCCCCTCCTGCCCGCCCGCCACATCCCCAGTGCGGGGCAGGTCTTACTCCTGCCCTGGGGCAGGGACGGCGGCCTGGAGCCTGGGAGACGGAACCGCAGCCCCCACCCCAGCAGCCCAGCTCCAGCCACGCCGCCCTCCCCCGGCCCGGGCCAAGCAGACGCGGGTGGCAGGGCAGGATGTGGGGCAACGGCTGAGCCGCCGGACGACATCCTGTGCGGGCCGAGCGCAGCAGACAGCGAGACCCCCGGTTGCCCTGCGTATCCCTGGCAGGGTGAAGAGGGGGCCGGGTGGCCCCGTGGGGAGGCCCCGGCCGTCCTCACTCTGGAGCCCACCCACCCCAGGGCCCCCAGCAGGGCCTGTTAGAAGCAGGCCTGGGAAGGGGCCTCTCCCCAACCCCGGGCCCTCCCGCCCCAGGGCTGGGAGCTGCAGCAGCCCCCGAGCACCCGGCAGCGGGCAGCTCTGAGATGAGAACACACTCCAGGCGCACTGGGGGGTCAGGGGCGGCTCGCCCTCTCCTGGGGCAGGAAGACACGACCACCCCGCTCAGGCCCTCTTGGGCTCCTCCCGGCACAGCCCCCCACCCCTCCGGAGCCCCCAAACCCCTGGCCGGCTGCAGGGACTGCATCCGTGCCTTTGCCTGGCCCTGAACACCTGCTGGCACTTCAAACCCACCCCATAAAAACTGGAGCCTAAGCCTCCCCCAGCTGCTCCTGCCCGGGGCCTGGGAGGAGGGGGTCCCTCGCCAGGGCTGCCCATGGGCCGAGTGCCCGCTGGGCGCTGAGGTCCTCCTGTCCAGAGCTCCCGGCCCACCCCCTGCACACACGGCCGGGCCTATTCCCCACCCCCCACCTCCGGGCCCCTGGGTGCCTGACCTCCCCGCCCAGGGACCGCCGCCCGCCACCTGCATGGCACAGCCTCCGGAGAGCTGCCCACACAAGCGCAGAGCCCCCGAGAGACTCACCGACACCGTGTCTTGGCTCAGGAACCCGGAGAGGCTGCCCGAGCCGTAGTGGATTTCGAAGGCGGTGCCATTCTTCACGTAGGTTCTGGACTTGTCGCTGTTGTACTTGTTGTGTGTCCCTGCCGAGCGGGGCAGTCAGTTGCACGCCCCCCCCCCACCCCGAGTGGCCTTGGACCCCCGCCCTGGGCGGCCCACCTCCCCAGCTGCCTCCCCGTGGGGATCTGGCTGAGACACTAGGCCCACCGTGCCAGGGGTCCCGGGACCGCGGGGCTGTGACACCCAGCCCTGCTCCCTGCCTGGTGGGCGGCCCAGCCCACGGCGTGCTCTGTCCTTGGTCCCCAGCCCCGGAGAGAGCGAGGCGGGGCTGCTACCGTGTTTCCCCCAAAATAAGACAGGGTCTTATATTTATTTTTCCTCAAGAAGACACCCTAGGCACGGTGGCTCAGGCCTGTAATCCCAGCACTCTGGGAGGCCGAGGCGGGCGGATTGCTCGAGGTCAGGAGTTCGGAACCAGACTGAGCAAGAGCAAGACCCCGTCTCTACTATAAATAAAAACAAATTAATCGGCCAACTAATATATATAGAAAAAATTAGCCGGGCATGATGGCGCATGCCTGCAGTCCCAGCTACTCGGGAGGCTGAGGCAGGAGGATCGCTTGAGCCCAGGAGTTTGAGGTTGCTGTGAGCTAGGCTGACGCCACGGCTCTCACTCTAGCCTGGGCAACAGAGTGAGACTCTGTCTCAAAAAAGAAGAAGACACCCTAGGGCTTATTTTTAAGTATAGTACAACGATCTACATTGATTCAAATACAGTGAAGCTGTCTTCTTCTGGAACATCATCATCACTCTCCAAACCCCAATTCCATCCTGAATTTCTTGTGACTCTATTTCCCTTAGAACCATCGGCCCCGATCTCTTGTGTGGAGCAACAGAGCTCTCACGGGGCAGATGAGAAGGGCTGCTCGTCTTCTTTCCCGCTCTGCAACGACATGCATGGGTCGTGCAGATGCGCTGCGCAGCCACGCCTGTCACTAGGGCTTATTTTCAGGGTAGGGCCTCTACTGCGCACATGCTTAGACACCCCGCTAGGGCTCATTTTACGGGTACGTCTTATTTTCGGGGAAACACGGAATGCACCAGGCCCACCCATGATGCAGGTGGCACGGGGGGGGGGGCGGCCTGTCTCCTGGGCCAAGAGGCGGGAACAGCGCACGGCCTGAGACAGGTCCCAAGGGGAGGCCGCCGAAGGCCCCAGCCTCGTCCCAGAAGGGCCACACTCGGGGGACACCTGGGGACCCGCAGGGAGGGCACGTGGCCACGGGGCTGCGGTGGACGGGGCCTCCGCCCAGGGCCGGCCACTCCCCGCCTGTTCCCCACCCTCAGGCCCTGATGGTGACAGGCCCAGCCTGAAGCAAGTGGCATCTAGAAGGGACAGGGGCCGGGCAGTGGCGGCAAGGAGACTCACAGCAGGCGACGTCTAGCAGGTGGCAGTGGACGGAGGGGACCCACAGGTTGGAGGAGCCCGTGTCGAAGACGACGGTGAAGCACTGGGGGGGCGTCCCGATGCCGATATCCCCGTAGTACTGGGCCTGGGCGGGGAGGGGCGGCAGTCAGCCTGCGGTAGGGCCCCGGCGTCCCCTCTGGGCCTGACGAGGCCCCAGCCGTCCCCGGAGCCGGGCCTCGAAGGCCCAAGCTGGAGGGTCGGCCACCCTCCCACCTGACCCTCCCCAGGAAACAGGCTCCGGCAGGGAGGCCAGGCCTCCAGCCCTGGGTCCTCAAGCCCACGGGCACTTGGGGTCTCCAGGCCACCGTGGGGTCAAGCCACCCGGCCGTGCCCAGGCGGGGAGGTTGGGGAAGGCCCCAGAGAAGGGTGAGGCCAGTGGTGAAGCCAGCGTGGGGACAGGCGTGGCCCCAACCCGAGCCCCAGGCAGGGCATAGGCCTCCCTGGCAGAGTGTCCTCCGTCCAGGGGTCCAAGGCCCAAGAAGGGGAGCGACCTCTGCCCCCGCTCCCCCCGTGGGCCACGTCAGGGCCTGACTCTGGGGGTCTGCCGGCTGAGGGGCGCCCTGGAGGCTCTCGCCGCCCAGCAGCCCTGGTCTTACTGCCCCGGGAGAGAGGGGGTGCCGCCTGGGACCCGCAGACACGAGGGGTCACCTGCCTCTCTGAGTCTCAGAATGAAGGCCGCCCATGGCCCTCTGAGGGCAGAGGTGTGGGGGTCCTGGAGCTCGGGGACAGTGGGCCCTGCCTGCCCGGACACCCCCTTCCTCGGGTGGGAGCCGGGGCTGCCAGAGGCCACAGGATTACTGGCTGCGATCCTGACCCAGCGTTTCTCCGGCCACTTGGCCCCAGGGTGCAGCAGCTGCTAACTCATGACCCAGCAGAAGTGTCCACCCTGGGGGGGGGGGTGACTCAGCAAATCTCCCTCTGTGTGTGTATGGGGGGAATCTGGAACCGGCCCCTCCGGCCCCAGGCAGACGGTTCCCCCTGCCCATGAGCAAAGTCACATGCCCGTGAGTCTCGAGAGCTTCCTGCCCTGACCAGGGCTGGGGCCAAGCGGGGCAGAGGGCACGGCCACCCACGCCACCGGGGGCCAGAGGTGGATAGCAGTGAGGGGCTTGACCCGGGGGGCACCAGCCGGGTCCTGGGCAGCTGTGGAGGTGCCCGGTCTTGGTGCCCAGAACCTGTCCCCACAGGGCTGGACAAGCCTGGCCTAGGTGCAGCCTGCTGTGAGGCTTCCAGAATGTTCTGCTCTGAGCTGGTTTCCATTCCAGGAGCAGTGGGCACAGCAGGGGCTGCCGCCCAAGAGGACAGTGAGGGACAGGGCACAGGGTCACGCCAGGCCTGCCAGCAGGATGGGCAAGGCAGAGGCAGCTGGGCCGTGGCCACAACCAGGCAGGGAGGCCCAGAGATTCCTGGGGTACCCCCACCCCGAAGCCTCGGGGCAGCTCAGGGGCTGGGCCTGGGTTCGACTCTGGGCCAGGGCAGCTCTGAGATGGCTGTCAGTACTCAGGACACTGGGGGAGACGTCCCCAAGGTGCCAAGGCCACCCACGTGCACCCCCAGCCCGGAGTAGGACCAGGACTGTGCTTGGGGGTGCAGCAGGGCCACTTAGCCTGGAAGCCCCCCCAGGACACAAAACCACCGGCTGCATGTGAGGGCATCACCCATGCTCCTGCAGAACTTTCCAGAAAGCCTCCAGCAGGGCCCCCACCCCTCGCTCCCCCCAACTCACATCCATGTAGTTCTTGAGCATCTCGGGGACGGGCCCTTGGGTTCCGGTGGGCGTCGAGTACTTTGTGATGGGGCCGTTGGCGATCAGATCTTCCACGGAGCCCCCTGCCTCTGTCAAGGTCCGGCGTATGGTCTTGAACTTGTGCAGTGGGATTCTGTCAATGAGGGGTCAGGGCATGTCAGGGTGGGGCAAGGGCAGCCCTCCCGTGTGCCAGCGGAAGCCCCCCATCTGAGAGCCGCCAGGTGCCCCCGGACAGCCACCTACACTGCACGTCCACCCAGCGTCTCGAACACAGCAGGGCCCAACCCTGGAAGCCCCCCGGCCCAGCCTCCCCTAAATCAGTGAACAGCAGCCCGTCAGCACCCCAGGCTGCCAGGCCAGAGTCCTGGGAGGCCTTGGTCACCCACCCGCCGCCCCCCACATCCACGCTGGAGACCAGCACGCTGCTCCCCTCCTCGGCCACTCCAAAGGCTCCGAAAGCTGCTCTCCTGTCCTCCCTCTGCACCTGTGCTACTGTCTCCCAGAAGGTGGCCGGTGGGGATGCCGAGGGTGCTGGTGGCACCTGCCTCCAAGGCAGCCCAAAGCTCCTGGCCACTGGCCCCACCTGCCTCCACCTGGACCTGCATCAAGGCGGTCCCGCCGCCAGGCTGGCCCTTGGTGGCTCTGTCTGCCTGAGCTCCTGGCCACCAGGTGGGCCTTCAACGCCACCCCAAGAGCCCTCCTTGACTACCTGTCGCCCTTCCTGCCACCTTGTTGCCACCCAGCGCCCTGGCCCCACGCTGCATCTCTGTGCAGGGGCCCCATGAGACCCAGGACTGCACCTGGGGCTCCAGAGCCTTCTGTGCTTCCTCGAAATGGGCCCCTTTGCACCCCAGCTCGGAACATTCCCCCAGCACCCCACCCAGCCAGGCGCCTCGGGGTCTGCCCCGTGTGGAGGGAGCTGAGACCGCGGTCGGGGGCCTGACTTCTGTTATACATGGAGCAAGCAGCAGGGGAGGGTCCCGGCCCCTCCTCTGGGGTCTCAAGGGCTGAGCCTGCGCCTGTTCCAGGGAGGGCTGGTCTGAGCTTTCAATGACTCAGATGAAACTTTGTCCTGCCCTAGGGATTTGTTGGTTCAAGGTCGCGGCTGGCTGTGGCTGGCATGCCAAGGGCGTGCTCCAGGAAGATGGGATTCTTGCCTAAGACCTGGTGGGCTGGAAGAGCCTCAGGTTCTGGCCTGGGGGAGGCACATGCCCCACTGGGGGGCCCAGAAGCAGGCACCACCAGTCCCACAGGACCTGGGATGAGGCGTGAGGGGCTTTGGGTCAGATGCCTGGCCCCCAGGAAGTCCCGGGCTCCCTGCCTCGCTGCCGTCTCCCCAAGAGGGGAGGCAGGTGGGTGGGGCTGGCAAGGTCGGGGCAGGCTCAGGCCTGTCGCTGCTCCCCAACAATGGCTCCGTCTGGGGCTAGCATCCCGGGGCCCCTGCCCACGGCCTGTGGTGAGGCTCAGTCCCACCCTGCCCCCAGCCCCTGCAGCCCTGTGACCTCCCCCACCAGCCCAGGGCAGCAGAGCCCCAGAGCAAGGGCAGGGCAGGTGCAGGCAGGGTTGGCCCACTGTACCCCGCCCTCTGGGGAGAGCAGGCTGCCTTGCATGGGCAGGAGCCGGGGTCTAGGCAGCAGACCTCAGCCCTGCCCTCTGCCTGGCTGGCACGGCCTGGCCCAGCCAGGGTCCAGGCCCAACCGTGGTGGCTCACCTGGTACAGGACTGAGGGTCCTAGGCCTGAGGAGGGTGTGGTCCTCACTGCAGCGGAGCCCCAGCTGCAGGATGGGCAAGCTGGACGCTGCCCTGTGCCTGACCTCTCTTAGGCCCTGCCAGACTCCTAGGGCCCCCAGGGCCTCCCCACCCCGGGCCTGTGTTAGGGCCTCTGAAGTAAACTTTTAAAAACCACACCCCAGTTCAAGGCTGGCAAAGGGGTTCCCGGATGGAAAATGTGGGGTCCAGCTCAAGAAGGCTCCAGGGCCTACACCTAGGTCTGGAGACTTCCCCAGTTGGACCCTGCCCACGGGACACCCCAAGCACACCTGTCCTGAATCAGCACTACCTCATCCCCACTCTGCACTTGGGGACGCTGGGGTACTCCCGCCTCCTCCCGTCCCCTCGAGGCTGGCCCCGTGTGGCATGGGGGCGGGGTGCTGGCGAGGGCCCATGGAAACCCTGCACCCCCAGAGCTTCCGAGTCCTGGGGCAGTGGGCGCTGCAGCAGCCGCGCAGGGCACAGGTGCACGGCGCGGGCGGGGCGCACAGGGGACACGGCGCGCAGGTCCCTCGGCGCGGAGCACCGGCCGGCGGGGGCCTCACCTGACGAGCGCGGTGGCGGACGCGGCCAGCAGGCCGAGCGCGAGCAGCAGCAAGCTGGGGGGCTGCATGGCGGTGGCGGCGGCGCGGTGGGACCCAAGCCCGGAGGTCGCGCGCTTATAACCGGGATGACGGCGCAGTCAGGCCGAGTCAGCTGACCGGCTTGTTTGCGCCAGGGCCCGTCACGTGGGCGCGACCGCCGTGCGCGGGAGGCGGGGCCGGGGCGGGGCGACCGGGCCGCGGTGCAGACGCGCGCTCCCGCCTGGATCCGCGCACGGCGCTCGGGGTGCGCCCGCCCTGCCCAGCACGCGCCCGCCCTGCATCTGGGGGGGGGAAGGGGTTCCGGGGTGCGGGGCGCGGCTGAGCGTGGCGGGGACCCTGACCCGCTCCTGGGGCCTCCCGACGAGCGACCCCACGGCCGCCGCTGCTGTCCCCGCTCGCCGGCGGAACCAGGGTGCGCGGGGCCCAGTGGCGGTCGCTGATGCTCAGGCAGGTGGGCAGCCCTGCAGCCCTTCGCAGGGCCCTAGGCCGAACTCGGGACTCCTCCGTGCCACCCACACTGTGCCTCACAGCTCCCGGGCGCCCACTCCTCCTTAGTCCTTGAGACCTCCCGGGTCCTCTCTGGAAGCCTCCCTATATCCCGGCCACCCAGGTGGACCTCATCGCTCCTCTCCAAGTGACCGCTGCTTGTGCCCACTCTCCAGCTCCCCCCAGGAGCAGCGCCTCTCCTGGCCCTGCGCCCTGGGCCCTCCTGCTCCCTGGCCCCACCTGCCCTGCCCATCTCTCTCTAACGCCTCCTGTCTTCTCCTGTCCCGCTCCCTTGAGGCCCTGATCTCAAAGGTGAGCGGAGCACGGAATAGACACGTCTCCTGAGCCTCAGCCCCGCGGAGGCCACGCACGGGGAGGCCTTCCCCAGGACCTCGTCCTTCATGCTGTACTCCTTCTTTCCTGCCTAGCGTTGGGGACCTGGCCTAGCGGCATGGGGGCCTGGCCTGGCTGTCCCTGGACTCCCTGGACCCTGTGGCGCTCCGGGCCAGCCCAGGCAGGAGGGGCAGGCTTTAGGTGGGAGAGGGGTGTTCACACAGCTCGCTTCAGAGACAGTTTGTGTCAGAAAGGAAATTTATCAGGGAAGGTGCTAGAACGTGCCGTCTGGAGGGGGTATCTCCAAGGAGCTGATGTCTGAGCAGTGGCCTGGTTACGCTGGGAGCCGGTGAAGGAGGCCGGCCCCGACCCCGGCTTACAGAGGGCCAGGGGGTTCTGCCGGCTGTAACCGGATCAAACAGGACCTGGGCTCCGGCTGAGCCTGCTGCAATCCCCGCTGGCCTGATGGCCGTAGGTGAGTGGCCGCTGTTTCGGCCACCTCCACGGCCCACCTGACTGTAAATGTTTACCAGGGTCATCTGATACGGCTCTAAACACGAGCACGGAGCAAAGCAGATGACGATGACATCTGCCCTGGGAATCTGCCCCTGCTGCCCCGGGCTCGGGGCTGTTTCCAGGGCAGGCCCAGAGCCTGGGGCCTGCGGTCGTCACCTGCCTCTGGGGGGGGGGGGGCTGGGAGCTCAGAGATGTCGCTGGCCCTGGGTGGGCTGGACTCAGGAGAGAGGTGGTCCCCGCCGGTGTCTCCTAAGTCTCCATCGGGGTCCCTGGGCCCAGGGGTGGACAAAGCGTCACCCCAGGTTGCCGAGAGAGACACACCTGTAAGGACGAACACCTGCAGGCGTGCTCCTCAATGGAGGCCCTGACAAGGTGACAGGCCCCTGAAGTGAGCGTGAGGGGCAGAGGCATGGAGTGGCGGTCCGCTGCGGGGCGTGCCGCGGGGCTGGGAGCCTGGGACTGTCCCCTGCGGATGACGGGCAGTACTGAGAAGGGGCCCTGTGGGGGCCCCAGAGGTAGAGAGGCCCCCGCTTCCCTGCGGAGGCTGTCGGCTCTTCCCTTTATCGAGGACTGAGGACGTTCTGCCTGTGTTGTGCCTCAGTTTCCCCACACCGGGGGCAGAGCCTGGCACTCGGCGGGTGCGGACAGTTCCGTGCGGGATGAATGCCTGGGTGTTGGGGTCCCACGGGGACCGACCCGAGAGGGAAGGCAGGACGCCGGGAGGCATGCTGGGTGGAGGGTCAGGGGAGTGGCTCCCAACCCCCTCACCTCTTACCTGCCCAGGTAGACCCTCCTGGTCGGGGCCTGGCGCTCCCACCCGGGAGTCAAGGGTGGGGCAGACAGCCTGGACTGTCCTCCTGGGGCTGGAGCTCAGGAGCCTGCCCTGGCCTCCCGGCCCTGCGACTCTAAGAGGCTAGCTAGAGAAGCCAGGGGTCCCACGGAGGGGACAGGGGGCCCCGGAGACAGGAGAGGCGGGGGGTGCGGGGGTGCGGGGAGGGCCAGGAACATGCTTTGGGGCGTGGCCGTGGCCGCTGGGCCAGAGCCTCTGCTGCTGGGTGGGGGAGGGGAGTGGGCACCAGCCCTGCACCCGGCAGTTTGACCCCGACGGGGCTGGTCCGGTGAGGGGGCTGGGCAGGAGGGAATGTCACATTCAGTAATCGGTGCAAAGACAGGCTGGCGGGTGGCGGGACAGCGGGGAGGGGGCTCTCACACTGGGGGAAGGGCAGTGCCAGCCCCTGGGGGGAGGGAGCTGGAATTCCCCCCTCACACCGTGCACAGAAACCGGTCTTAGCTGGATCAGAGCTGCAAGTGTGAGTGGCAGTTCCGGGGCGGGGGCCGGGGCGGGGTGGTGGGGGGAGGTGAGGAGACCGTCTTCCTGACCCCGGGTCAGCACAGCCGTGTTCACGTGCCACCCGCACTCCAGCGCCAGGCCTCGAGGGAACGAAGACAGGCCACGCGCTGGGAGGGGATGTTTGCAAGACGCACATCCGATGAGGGGTTTGTATCCGAAATGCACGGAGAACTCTTGGAGCCCAACAGTAAGAAAACAAACGCCCAATTTTTTTTCTTTTTTTTTTAATAGCAAGTGGTCAGAGCGGACGTTTCACCGGAGCGGAAACGCACGGCGGGTGGGCCAGCGGTGTGCGATAGGCGCTCCCGGTCTCCCGTCGTTAGGGAATGGCAGACCCGGACAGCAGGACACGCCTGTCGGAGCGGCCAAGGCCCAGAACACGGACCGCACACGCCGGTTGCCGGGGAGGACCTGGGGCAGCAGGAAGTCCTCTTGGGGCAGGTGGGAGGATGGATCTTACGAAACGCCACGTCCACGTCCCCTTGCCGTGCGGCCGAGCGGCCTCGCCCCAGACCTGAGGACTCGAGGCCACGCCAGAACCGGGGCACATGCCGGCAGCAGCTGTGTCCCTGGTCGCCCGGACCGGCAGCGCCCAAGATGTCCCCACCAGGCGTGTCCAGACGGGGGTGGCACGGAGAAGGGAGCCACAAGCCCCGGGAAGCCGTGGCTGAGATGTAGGGCTGCACCCCACCCCCCGTGACCCCGACTCTGACCTTCTAGAAAGCAGCGCCATGGAGACGGTAAAAGGAACAGAGGTTGCCGGGGCTCAGGTGCAGAGGGGTGACGATGGCACACAGGGGGTGAGACTCTTCGCTTGGGGGAGGGGAAAACACGGGACACCCCACCCCCAACCCCGAGGTTGTCAAAACCCAGGAAATTTACGGCAGAACCTGAGAGCGACCCCCAGTGTCAACTCTGGACTCGGGGCGGTGGTCACGTGCCCCTTGTAACACACGTCCCACCCTCGGGCGAGGTGCTGATCACGGGGACCCGCGTGTGCCGGGGGAGGTGGGGGGGGGAGCCCTCACCGCGTGCTTGGCTTGTCTGCGTGTGTGCAAACCGTTCTCGAAAATAAACTCCACCGATAGCCAAAAAAGAAAAGAACGTTCATTAACCTGTTTTGGGGACGATGGCACTCTCTTCCGCGGTGTGCCGTCAACACGGTGCCAAAGCCGCCCACAGAGAGGAAGCGAGTGTGTTTCATTTCGTGAACGCAAATAAAATCTTAAGCACCCCCCCCACAGCTGCCTGAATGGACCCCCTCTTGGCCAAGGGGACCCCGGGAACACCGTGCAGCAGTAGCTGGTTGTGAGTCGGGGGGGGGGGCAGACTCGCCTTGTCGTGCCCCCTCCCTTCTTCTTGGAGACGTCCTCGGTGACACATGACCAGGCCAAGTCTACACGAGACGGGGGGGGGGGGGTCTTGACCCACGGCTGCAGCCCTCCACGTGTTCACGGGTGCCTCGAGTCGGGTCTGTCCAGTGGCTTGTCTCTAGTGCAGTGGTCCCCAGCCTTTTTGGCCAGTGGGGACGGGCTTGGTGGAAGACAAGTTTTCCGCAGACGGGGGTGGGGGGGGTGGTGGCAGGGAGGAGGGCGTGGTTTTGAGATGATTCAAGCGCATCACGTTCACTGTGCAGTCGAACCTCTCCGCTAATGGCAGTCTGAGTTTGCAGCCGCTCCCCAGCGCTGGCATCACCCCAGATCACCCCTCGGCCCCACCCCAGATCCTCAGGCGTTGGATTCCCGTAAGGAGCTGCAGTCTAGCCCTGGCATGCGCGGTTTGCAGTAGGGGTCGCGCTCCCGAGAGAATCTAACGCCACCGCTGATCTGACGGGAGGTGTGGCCTGGAGGTTGGGGACCACGGCTCTGATTAACAGACTTCCTTATCTTTCTTTTTCTTTCTTTTTTCTGAGACAGAGTCTTGCTTTGTTGCCCAGGCTAGAGTGAGTGCCGTGGCGTCAGCCCAGCTCACAGCAACCTCAAGCGATCCTCCTGGGCTCAAGCGAGCCTCCTGCCTCAGCCTCCCGAGTAGCTGGGACTACAGGCATGCGCCACCATGCCCGGCTGATTTTTTTGTATATATATATTTTTAGTTGGTCAATTAATTTCTTTCTATTTATAGTAGAGACGGGGGGGGTCTCGCTCAGGCTGGTTTCGAACTCCTGACCTGGAGCAATCCGCCCGCCTCGGCCTCCCAGAGAGCTAGGATAACAGGCACGAGCCACCGCGCCCGGCCGACTTCCTTATCTTTAAACATGCCAAGCCTTCGGACAAAGCTTCATGTCTTTAACGGATTACAAATCAAAGAATCTTCAAACCCACCTATAACCTGTAATCCCCCTGCTTTGAGATGCCCTGCCTTTTATGGCCAAACCAATGTACGCCTTCCGTGTATTGATTTGTGATTCTACCTGTTAATTCCTGTCTCCCTGAAATGTGTAA